CCCCCAACAAGTAGTCTAGACTGAACCGCTACAGCATCAGCACAGGAAGTGAGTGGCCTGTACACATACACGTAAGTACGTTTACTAAGCAACCTGAGAACGAGTTTAATAACGACACACTCACAAGCTTCACCTCAAAATAATTAAATAATATTGTTACAGATCACTCCAAGTGATACACAGAATAATGAGCATAGGCTCAACAAGACGATAGCAAGGTCAAAACCCCACTGTCCAATTTACGAGAGAAGATCCCGATACGTTGCCGGCCAGCACTGTAATTGCTTCTACCGCCGGATAAGCATATCAACATGTAGCGATCACAAAGTTTTAAGAGATTTCTTGAAAAATATCTCATTTCTATACAATTTTAATATTAATGTTTATGTTTTAATTTTTAATTCTAAATTTTCCTGCCTAAGTATTTATGTTTTAACTGAAAATTCAATTTATGCGTTTAAAACTCACAAGAATATAACATGGATCCATATTGAAATTATATGAAATTCAAGAACTAGGACTAGTATCATTGTAGGCCTGATGGTGGCACAATATAAGGGTCGAAACATGTAGCGTCAACAGCAAAATGAAACGAATGTTGTTACAATAGTGTCTATTTTGCTTTTCAGGAATATTGTTGTGTAATTGTCCCCATCATACACGCTATATATTCTATATGTCAGGTCGAAACCCACACTGATGATACCCAATAATTGCATCTACATATGGATTTAACCTTGATTGAAGGATATTGGAAAATATTTGTAAGAAGTTGAGAACAGTTATATCCCATGATAATTACTACAGTCAGTGATATCGCCCTTCTTGTAAATTAGTACAGTAATGGACTCCTACCACTGTACAGGCAATTCTTCCTTACTCCAAACAGAATTCACGAGTCTGTGGATCTTGGACCGTAAAGTTTCGCCTCACACTTGAATCAGTTCTGCCGGAATTAGATCACTACCGGGCAGTTTGTACTGTTTTAAATTTGCAATAGTAATTTGGAATTCGCCGGTCACGGTAGCCGAGCGGTCTAAGGCATGTACTGTCTTCGCTCGCTTGGAAACCGGGATCGTGGGTTCGAATCCCACTCAGGGCATGGATATTTAGTTTGTGTGTGCGTTTTTCTGTGTCTGTGTACAGGTAGAGGCCTTGCGACGAGCTGATCACCCGCCCAAGGAGTCCTACCGAATGTGTAAGATCTAGAAAAACCGAAGTGAACGGAAAAGTTCATGGAGGTAGGCCTAGGCCCACTGGGGCTGTAGTGCCAAGGGGGAAAAAAAATTGGAACTCAAAAGGACTAGAGTCAGGTACTAATGGTTCAGCTGTATGCGTTTCTATCTGCCTAAGATCACTGACCCTATGTACAGTCTTGTGTTTAAGCATCCTGTTTCATTACTATATACTACCTCATTTACATACAATTTTCCGACATTAATGCAATTGTTTATTTCTTGTTTCACATTTGCTTTCGCTATTAACACAATATGTTTCGGCCCCAAATGACCATCCTCAGTTGTCCCATTATGCCAAACCTGCTACACTGCACTGAGTATTGTCCATTCCACACGCGCATAACTGAACATTTCGTAATTAAAGTGTTACAATTGAACTCAACTCTTGTGCATGTTACAGTTCACGCCATTTGCAATAAATTAAAAATCGTTAACATTTTTAATTATATAAAAATTCCGCAGATAGGGACTAGTTCTATCAATTGTGCCCAACTGAGTAGGTTTTACCTGAAGCGGAGACAGAATCCAGCCTTCGAAAGGCTGTGTTTTGAAAAAATAAACAGGACGGTTTTTAGATAAAGACAAGACGATGGATAATGTCCAAAAATATAATATTTGTGCTTACGTACCATCGACACAAATTTTGGATCTTAAATTTATTAATGTTACGATGTGAGAACATTGTACTTTTGACAGATTTTTGGATATGGTAAAGTTTACTACCGGAGTGTTTCATGGAGGTAGGCCTAGGCCCAAATGAGGGCTGTAGCGCCAATGAAAGAAAAAAAAAAAAGAAAAGAAAGAAATAGACTTGAAAGGATTCTGACGATGGTGTATACTGTGCTTCTTTTGGCTTATTTTGGACTTCACCCATCGTCCGGTATATAAAAGACAAAAAAAAAAACGACGTTTCGGAGACTGGATCTGTCCAGACAGATCCAGTCTCCGAAACGTCGTGGTTTTTATATGCCGTACGATGGGTGAAGTCCAAAATAAGCCAAAAGAAGTAAAAGAAAGAAAGTTTACTACTCTCAGTCCATTATAATTAATATTTTCGTGTAAACTTTCGTCCCTAATTGTTGGTTTGAAAATGTCTTCCCTACCTATTTCGGCATTGAAATCTCCCTTTCAGCAGATTACACTGCTATATATACCAGAATATAAGTAATCTTCATAACTACCTCTGTGAGAACCTCAAGTTCTACGCATTCGTAGGCTTTATATGTTGATCGCGTTTAGTATAATGATTTATTGGTTTCAAAGGTCGAACCTTCTACTAGTTGACACTAGTGACGTCAGAGGTAAGGTGATAATGAACTGTTGATAATCAGTGAGAAGATGAGTAGAGTCACCAATAACTCCAGCAATGACTCGTATCTCACATCTTCAGATACGATATCTCGGTTGCATAATCTTTGATTGTTTGTAGGGGCAAATTTAAGGATTCCGAGAGAAATATTTACACGCAGAATATGCTTCGCAATTGGACGATTTATACAGGACGCCATGCCACCCTTTAAACCACAAACATAGTCTATACTATTTTGATTTCGTCCGATTCAAATCCCTACACAAAACGAATTACAAAGTTTAAAAACAGGTTTGAAAAATAATATGACGAAACGTCCTTAGGGTCTGTAGGTAAACTAGGCTACGTCTGTTGCCCGGTATATAAACTACACGTATTAGAACGTCCAAGACGGCCACGTTTCACAGCCGTTGAAACAGATAAAATCATTTAAATGAGTGGACGTTCCGCAGCCGTCAAAATATTTCGTTGGGATAATGCACAGTAATGTTGTCAGCTTGACATTGTATTGACACTAGCTGACAAGTTTACGATGTAGTAGTAAATATAGACCTACTGATTTCTTTCACATTCTTCGCTGGCCATATCAATGAGATTGAGATGGTTGGGTCACGTAGCACGAAAGGCAGAGATGCGAATTCAGAAAACCCGAAGAGGCCGCTTGGGAGATGATAACATCGTAGTATAAAGGGTCTGAAAAAATAGGGTGTGAAAATATGGATTGCTGGCGAGGACCAGCATCAATTGTATACGACAGACCAATCCTCTCGTCAGAGAGGATGTTACATAAGGTCTATACCGCAAGAGTTCAGCTGAAAAATTCTTTAATCGTGGGTCTCAAGGGGCTTCACGCCGAGAGGAACTGATTGGCGATAAACTGCTAGTCGCAAAGTAACTTTGACTTTGACAACAAGTTCATTTGTGAGTAGTATTAGCCAGCGGGCAACAGCATGAGCACAAAAGCTGAAGAATCTCCATAGCTGAAAGCTGTTACCAATCAACGAGAAGGGAAGACCATAAAAGAGTGAGTCTTAGCGTATGCTGTAGTGATTTTGTAAAGTGCGTAAATCAGAGATAGTGTTACAATTACTTGTAGTTCGAGTTGTGTGTGTAAGTGGTCAATAAATGGAGTCACCAATCCAAACCCCGTCTATAGTCACACATACAATTTAGCAACAAAAAAGGTTGGCATTTTCCGTAAACCAAAGAAAAAGTAGTAGATAGGATTTGAGCTTCTCATAGCTGTGGTTATGCAGAGTCCTATCTTCTGGGATGTAACGCCATGTAGTCAGCTGTAAATCAGCCGGCGTTTCGGAAGAACACGTCGCCTCCATCTTCAGGGTCTAAGAATAAGCCGAGCAAGAATCCAGACTGGAAGCAGGTGGCAAGCAGAGCACGGCTTATTCTGCGACCCTGAAGATGGAGGCGACGTGTTCTTCCGAAACGCCGGTTGACAGTAGTAGGGATTTAAATTTAGAACCGCATGAAAGTACAATTGTAAAATACGTGTACTTCTGATACAGGAAATGCATATAAATTCATAACAGTTGTGTATAAAGTTTGACTGAAAGTCGTGGTACCAGCGTTAGAGGATCCTGGTCACTTCTTTCGAAACTCGTCATGATTTCTTAGAAGTCGGTTGATTTGAATGCCTTCATCGATTGCAATAAAAAATAACGTAGCGTGGTTCCAAGAAACGTTGTAGACGGGGGCATAGTCACAAAAAGAACTTGTTTGTACAGACACGTTCTAATTGACTGTGTGTCAGCGGTTATTTTGCGAATGTGTGTAAAAAAGTTACGATTCTCTTGTCTGGAACGTTTTACTCCGCATTCTCCTCTCTCTATCTTCTTCTCCTGCCAACTTTCTGCAGCTTACTTCCCCCTCCCCTCTTTTCCCGAAACATTTTTATTGTTATTGTCTGCGCGCGGTAATATTCAATCACGGGGAATTAAGTTTTTTCCTGCAACGCTATTCGTTCAGATAAAACCTTACAACCAATGACGACGTGTCGCTGTGACGTCACGAGCAAGGTTTAAAACGGCAATCGGCGAAGGACGGCGGTTTAGAAGTGCGCCGAGCTCAAATCGTTTGAGAGCGTGGCAAGGGTCGCAGTGCGCTGCTCCGTGTAGGAGTTTTGTGCTGCAAGTCTTGTAGTTACTGTGTGTAATATGCCCTGCGAAAAATATTGAAAGAATCTCAGAGAAGCGGGCATTATATACGTAACAACATCGAAACTAGTCGTTTTGTTAAGAAGTGAAGTCATTACATACTAGTGCAGTCTCGCTGAACCAAGTGTTTTGGTACAGAAGACTTTAAAGTTCCTAGAACATTAAACCAAAGCTTTGAAGTTTTGAACTTCATTACAAAGTTTCTACCTCGTGAACGCTTTGACAAAGACTTAAAATGGTTGGTACAAATGCTACAATGATTGCTATTCGAATGGTTCGCAGCAAATTGAGAAAGAGAGACGAGAACGGCGTTCGACAGGACCACGTTATGTTGCATTCTGCACAACAACAGAACAACAATCATTGTCACCACAACAATAACAACAACAGTGGGACTGCAACGCCTCCAGCAGCTGCAACTGGAGGAACTACCATTCCCACAGTGTCAGCGACTGTCATCTATCCTCCTCCCGTGCCGTCTCCAGCAGACGCCGCAACTGCTGCCAATGGTCTCAGCAACACACCTCGCCAGTTCATATGGCAGATCCCGGCCACACACCCCTACGCCATGTACAAAAACGACAAGGTAAATATGATGAAATTTCGTCTTTAAACAGGCAGTGTTAAAGGGTAGATGAGTCCGGCATTTTTTAGTGATCCAACGTAGAAATATCAGCGTTAAATTTAATAAACCGTGGTATGCAAAAAAAGGCAAAACATTGTCTACTGTAATGTGTCCATGACCAAATTTATTTCGAACAAAAAATGAGTTTAAGATCACAGTTTCTCCAATAATTTGAAAAATATTTAACACGTATTCAGTGACCCCTTTGAAAATCTGACAAATTGCAAGAATTTGTATTGATAACCGGAAGAGCAAACAAATTCATAAACATAATATGACTTACAAGGTCATATAGGCTATATTCTTGTTACGTCTCCGTGACTGCACGTTTGGTGTAATTGTTGATACATACCATACATAATTTCATAACGAATTCTTATACATGGTTAGAATATATTCTTGTTGGCAAGTTGTCGCCACTGCTACGCGAAGTTAACGTGCCGAAACTACCAGCAAAGCTTATTTTCCCCACTGTTAGCTATATTCATTATGTGACAGAAGAGTCTTTTTTCTTACCGCTGACCCATTTCTTCATTGAAGTCGTACTTTGCCTCGAACTATGTTCCTGGTTTGAGGGGATGAAAAACTCTTATTTATTGTATATATAAAAAAATATGTGTGTGGCAAATTTCAGTTTTAGGGCGAGGGCACACCAAGGAAACTGGCAACCGCAACGAACCGCAATTTCCGAGAATTGTTATCAGCCTGAGTTGAAAACGTGTTACTCAATGGAGCAACGCAAATTGAGGAAACGGCAACCCAGTTGATAATTCTCGATAGTTGCGGTTGCCAGTTTCCTTGGTGTGCCTTCCCCCCCTAACATTTTGAACATGCAGCCAGTGATTATTGCTCCTATCCAGGGAAGATACAATTTGTTATCAGAAAGAGCAGCGAATTCATTGCCCAAAAAGTTTCAATAACAATACAAACTCAAGACATGACCACTGTTATTGATCCTTGTAAAATATGATAAACAGAAAGCAATCCTTGTCTTTAACGTTGATCTGTGAAGGCAGAAAGAGATGAACCGTATTGTGCATATTGATGAGCCGTGACTAGCTTTCATTTTTCATTTGTTTATTTCTGGTTCTGTGAATTTGAGAAATCGTTAGCTTTCACTAAGACAGCAGAGTAAACATGGAAATAAACAGTTGATCCCAATGGTAAATGCAGCAACCTGGAACTTAAACCTGGTTATAAATTTTGTACCATGTTAGTCAGTGCCTTACCTTATGAATTGTTAATGCATTTCTGAGTGTTAGAAGAGTACCAGAAGTTCTCTTGCTGTCAAAACTGAGATGTCCATTACAGCAGCATTTCCAAAAGTGGAAACTTTCTTCCAGGCTCCAAAAAAAAATTCAAATAATCTAATTATTACAATGTATGAATAATTTTATAAGAAAAAGGTAACATTAAATTGCAAACATACAATGTAAATTAGAAAGTATTTTATAGATAAAATTAAGGTTTATTATTTTTATTCACAGAAAGGTGTCCTAAGAAAGAATTGGGGAACCCCTGTGTTAACAATAGAGTTACCCTTCAAAGTATACATTCCAAGAAGTTTGAAACATGTTTTATTGTTTGCTGTCTAATATTATATTCCGTGAGGTAGAACCTTTTGGAGTGATTTCACTGTTGTGCACCCCAATGAACTTTGCTTATTGTGACATTTATCATGAATTGTTTATGCTTGCAGGAAACTCTTGTACATCCCCTCCCTTCAGAACAGCCTGGATTTTGCCGTGGATTCCGGAAGAATCTTCAGGGACGCTGGAAGCGCTTGGTAAAAAGGAAACCAATCAATGAAACCTATACAATCCCACCAGAACTTCGAGATCAACTGAAAAACATCTACGTTTATTAACGGACATTCTCACAACAGTCATTTGAGGGAATCAAAATATAAATACTTGAACAGTTCCTGTGTCTTAAGTTTGCAAGTTTGTAAAATTAAGAACAATATGCATTTTATATCACATGAATGCTGTAAACCAGAGTACCATTACAAGAAGCACAATGTATGCTGTTTTATTTGTTAATTTTGGATACATTTTAATGAAAGGGTAATATGTGAATTTGAAAATCAAAATTTTGAGTTGTATTTGACTGCACGAATTTTAAATATAAGATGGCATTCCACCGATATACAATGCCGACATCGTCACTTGATACAGGCATGCAGATAGACTTGGTAATGATTCAGGTAGTTGGTAGAAAGCAAAGCTTGTGAAGTCTGCAGACCATTTCTTCTGAAACACAAGAAGGAGAGACATGTGTCATGTCTATAGTGAGAATGGTATATAATGTTGTACTTTGGTTTCTGGCAGATCAGGTCGCTGTTTGTGTGTCATCAAAAGGACAGTTGCCACCCTTCTAAATGACAAGCTTTTTAACTTCTACTTAATTAAAAGTTAAGCAAGTCAAGACTGTAAAGATGACTAGTTGCGAATTTTGCTTGGAATTTATCTGGCTAGTTGACCAAAATGGAAGCAAATTTTTGTGTTGGTATTCCTTATGGCTGGTAGAAGTCCCATCATTAGGAATGACGCACAAAACTGTGATGGTACGGATGTGATATCAAATGTTGTACAGTAGAGCAGTAAAGTCAAGCCCATGATATTATTATGTAAATATTTTAAAAATTAGTATTATTATTTTATATGATAAATGCCTCCTACATACATTTTATGCTTGCTGGTGAAGAAGCAGAAAGCAGCGGTTGCCGTATCGAGAATAACAAGTATTTTTTTTTGGCTCATATTGAGCTCCGTTTAGATTGTTATTGGGGTATTGTACAAATGGAGGCATTGAAATATAATGTACCAGCATCGCTTTACAGATTGCAAGTGTAATAGTTGTTTAGTTCCACAGACTAGTACAACATCTGTCAGTTTAAATATTAAGTTAAAAATTACTGAATATTATATAGAAGAAATGTAAAATTATTGCAACACTCAGCTGTAATTTTCATGAGATTTTCTCACTGATAAAATTTCAAGCTTGTTGAGCCAAATTAAAAAAAAAAAGATATATGGAACTCAAAATTAATCTGTGTCTGGTTTTCCTGAAATCCCATTTTGAATAATTTTGTTCATCATACAAATTAACTAATTTTACAGAGGATAACTTGTGAAGAGAAAATAATTGAGAATTCCTATTTATTAATTAGAAAACAAAAATATACTGCTACAATCTATGATGATAATTTGTAAATAACACTGTGTACATACGTTTCTTAGTTATTGTGTGTATGTTTAAGTACATGTCAGTTTCAATCATTTTAACAATGGAAAAAGAGTAAGATTTTTGATTCAGACACTAGTCATGGATTTATGCCAAAATATGCAGATGCAGAATTTGGAATGAAAGGCAAAGTTATAGGAGCATGCAAAATTGCTCAGTGCCAATAAACATAACTGTGCGATATTTATGATCACGAATTGTGCGTCATTAATATAACAATTTTACGTTACCTTGTTTAAATTATTTTAGATCATTTGGCTATTAATACCTTTAGTATTGAAGCATTCTTGCCAGTAGTGAACAGTCCAAATATATCCAAAGCATGCGCACAATTTTGCTGATGTTCTCCCTTAACTTTGGCCTACATATGTAACAGAATACCACTTATGACCAACTGGAACTGCACAGTTATTTAAAACAGTACATTTATGATCTGAAGTATTTTTAATGTTAGTGTTAATGGTTAAACTTCATGCAAGTTTTCATTTCATGTCTGATCATTCCATCCTTACAACTCTGACTTACATTTGTAAGAAAATACATACCTGTTTCAGAGATTTTGAAATAAATAAAGTTGAATACCTTCTGATATTTCTGTAGTTTCATATCATTGCCAAATTCAGAGATATGGATCATTAGAGGGAACGCCAAAGAGTAGATGCATAAGAAGGCAGACACAGTATGGAGCAGGGCAACAGTGGAACCTTCTGATATTTCTGTGGTTTCATAACATTGCCAAATTCAGAGATAAACATAATTAGAGGGAAGGCCAAAGAGTAGATGCATACGAAGGCAGACACAGTATGGAGGAGGGCAACATCGGAACCTTCTGATATTTCTGTGGTTTCATAACATTGCCAAATTCAGAGATAAACATAATTAGAGGGAAGGCCAAAGAGTAGATGCACAGGAAGGCAGACATCATAGTAATGGAGCAGGGCAACACAAGAATGTGTTGCATTCCACATGTGTAGCCAGGAAAGGTGCTTGTTTGGTGCAGTTAGTGCTTGTCTTGTGCTTTAAATTAAGGAAGAGAGAGGATTGTAAATTGTCTTAGTGTAACATTTACATATACAATCTGAATGGAACAGAAAATAACTTATGGTAAGTCAAAGAGGTTATGAATATATGTAATCTAGAAGAAAGCAATTTATGTTTTTCAAATGATTTTCTTAGTTAGATTTCCAGTTTGTCCACAAAAATTTAACAATGCATTGAACAGGGTGTCATATTTAGATCAGCCCTTTTGAAGTTTTGAATTCTAAATAATACTTAAGAATTAAGTTTCTAGTTAACAGAAAACATATTTATCTCCATTGCAGAGACTAATTGTTTATTGCTGCTTACAGAATTAATAGTTCTTACGGAAATCAAACAATACCATCATTGGCAGGTCAATCTGTCTGTGTTACATGGTATGTCCTGTATATCAATTGAATTGAATTGAATTTATTTACATTCTATAAATCCTAAGCAGGTTAGTACCTTTGGATACAGAACATGTCAAAAGGTTACATACATAAGTACAGGCAATTTTAGCTTAAAAATTAATATAACTTAATTTTACATCATTCTCTATTTACATTGAAGTATTCATCCAAAGAGTAGAAGGAATGAGCATGTAGATAATTCTTTAACTCTGATTTAAACTTTTTAGTATCATTGCCCAAGTTTGGATAGTTTTGATTGAAATTTACCAAATGAGTACCTTGTGCCAGATGATTATAAAATTAACTTTTTAATTTCAATACTAGAAGAAGGGTAATTATATTCTTAAACTTACAGAATAATATCAGGGGTTATGTGACCAAAGAACTGATATACCATTCTGTGTAGAAAGACACATTTGCAGAAACATGTTTGCTCAAGTGTGGAATAAGTTTATAAATTTATATTCGCATCCAGTTTTGTAGATTACATTTTAATTTAGTTCTTTCAAAAGTCAGTACACAGTAATGTAGTTGGTTGAGGCACTATGTTACAAGTTGGAAGGTCATGGGTTTGAGTCCAGATGAGGTCACTCAATTTTTCAATTGACCTAATCCTTCCAGCCGCATTATGGCCATGGGGTCGACTCAGCCTCTAACAGAAATGAGTACCAGGAATCTTCTTGGGGGATAAAGCACTCTGTCATGTAAGGCTGACAACCTCACTGCCATCTGTGAGCAGACTGTCTAGAAAATGTGGGATCCTCAATATCTTACAACCCTATGGGCCTTCATGGCCTGTTACAGGGATAGCTTCTACTTAAAGGAAAAGTATTCTTGCACCAGTTGTTCAAATATAGGGACATAATTGTGTTCTGTTGGTGTAAAAATGAACAACTGGTTATGAAAATTGAAGAGTGACTAATTCTAAAACAAACAATAGAAATGAATAAACAGGCATAGTCCTCAGTTGTGTAGCTGTGCAAGATAATACCGATTTTTTGTGGAGATGTAAGATTTGTAAACTTATTCACAACAGCTCCAGTCCTGAGTTAGATGAGTACTTTCTTCACCCTGATGCCCAAATTTTTTATTTAGCATTATCCAGGCACTATGCTACAAGCTGGAAGGTCGCGGGTTCAAGTCCCGATGAGGTCATTGGATATTTTTCAATTGACCCAAACTTTCTGGCTGCACTAGGCCCTGGGGTTTACTCAGCCTCTAACAGAAATGAGTACCAGGAATTAATTAAATAATTTTCCTGGGGACTAAAGGGCGGCCGGTGCGCAATGCTGACAACCTTACTGCCATCTTTGAGCCGATTGTCAAGGTAATTTAGGACCCTCAATGTTTCTCAACCCTATGGGCCTTCACAGCCTGTTACAGGGATAGCTTTACTTCCACTGCTGTCTAGGTGTCCCAAATGGTTCTCTCCCTCTCAGACTTTCCAGTTAAGATTTTGTACCCTACTATGTGACTTGCCCAGATAATTCTTTTAGAAGTGGAAAAAAGGATGTAAAGATAGGCTTGTACTGGACCTGCTTATGTGTGGGAATGTACTTAAAATTCTTCCTAATACATGTGCACAGATGAGATAAATGCATTTAGTATTTTAGAATAAACCAATACCTATTGAAAAGAGACAGCTGGGTAGAAAAATTTATGCAGTAGGAGGTATATTAAAATACATTTTATAAAAATGAGATGTTGTAATGAAATCTGGAATTAACTTGACTTTGTAATGATTTATTCAGTTTTATTCATATTATAACCCCTATCCATTGTTAACTATGATTTGACTGTCTCACAAAAATTTAGTTCCCCCTCACTATGTTGAAGATCTGGGATCGTCATTAGATGGATGGCCATGACATAGCTCAGGTAATTAGTTGTTGGCTCCTCAGCACCAGGTTTGATCTCAGGATAGTACATATGACACTTGTGATGGACAGAGTGGCACTGGGGCAGGTTTCTTTCCCCTCTCAGTTAACATTCCACCGATGTTTTATCCTCTCCTCTGTCTTCTGGAACTGGTACAGTGGGCCTGCTTGCAGCCGGAATACCAGTGGTGTCACCTCATTGCAAGAATCATCAGATGAATGATAGTGTTAAAGCGTAAAGCCACCTTATTGTCACTATGTGATTGTGTGTCATAGCAGCACCTGTTTTCATGACATAAAGTAACAGATGAAACTCTGTGGCAGAGTTGAAATATCTGGGAACAACGTTAACAGACCAAAATTTTATTCACGAGGAAATTAAGAACAGATTGAATTCAGGCAATGCTTGCTACCATTCAGTTTAGAACCGTTTGTCTTCTCATCTGCTGTCTAGAAGCGCAAGCTTTAAAATACACAAAACTATAATTTTGCCTTTAGTTTTGTATGGGTGTGAGTCTTGGTCTGTGACATTAAGTGAATCATGTAGACTGTTGGTGTATGAGAACAGGGTGCTGAGAAGATTATTTGGACAAGAGAGGGATGGAAGGGTATGAGGTTGGGGAAAGTACATAATTAGGAGCTTTGTAACTTGCATTCTTCGCCAAATATAATTAGGTTGAGCAAGGCAAGGAGGATAAGATTGGAAGGGCATGTAGTACGCACGAGGAGAGGAGGAATACATGGGGAAGCAATAAAGAAAGAGACCACTAGGAAGACCTAGATGTACGTGGGAAGATATTGTTAAAATGAAGTTTAGATAAATAGAATTGGGTGGTAATAATTGGATTGATCTAGCTCAGGACAGGGAAGAGTGGAGGACTCTTGTGAACACTGTAATGAGCCTTTGGGTTCCATAAAATGTTGAGAAAATCTTAAGTAGATGAGCGACCGGCGACTTCTCAAGAAGGGGTTAGTTCCACAGAGTTACTTAGTCATTTAGAAATAAAATTTCTTATAACGAACTTGTCACAGAGTTTAAGAAATTTTTACTGAATTCCATTGTTTACTTTTTATAAATCTAATCAGTTCTTCCAAACATTTTAAAAGTTACTTTTCTATGAAAAAGGCCGAGAAAGAACGAGAAAGAAGGCCCCTTAACGTTGGTAACTCCTCTTCCCACGCAACCGTTTGAATCGTAAGAAGTATTACAATCTGCCGAGAGATGTCGCTGAATGGAAAATGGCTAGTGCTGCCAAGGCGACGTCTAGTAGTATCACTAGTGCCAAGACATTTCGCGCGTAGTTTGGCATGTCTGTCACAGAGTACGCTTGTGTGATTATTGTACAGATGAGCTGGCAGGCAAACTTTTACTTACAATTTTTTTCTACCTAATATCATCTACATACCACTCAGTATGAATACACATTATATGATAGATTTTACCGGTAACTCTCGAAATACGCGTATTTAGAGAATTACGCTCAAGATACACGCATGAACGCTAGGTCTTCCTGCGCTAGCTTCTTCAGTGTGGAAATACTGGCAATAAAACACTTACTTACTTACTTATTTACTTACTCAGGGAGCTGAGCCCTTATGGAGGAGCCGCCAATTCTGCAGCTACTCAAGAATTTCCCAGTATTTTACGGAACCCGAAGGTTCATTCCGTGTTCACAAGAGCCCCCCGCTGGTCCCTATCCTGAGCCAGATCTATCCAGTCCATACCATCCCATCCTCTCTCTCTAAGCTCCATTCTAATATTGTCCACCCACCTACGCCTTGATCTTCCCTGTGGTCTCTTTCCTTCTGGCTTTCCCACCAATATCCTATACGCATTCCTCGTCTCCCCCATTCGTGCTACATGACCTGCCCACCTCTGTCAATAAAACACTAGGAAGGGAAACTTCACTGTTGTGTATATATATATATATATATACACCCTGTTTTTTCTTCTTCTAAACCGTAAGTCATAAATTTCTTACGTTTGCAATTTAAGTAATATCATTCTGTTTTTAGCGTATTTTCTTTATTTTGAAACAATGCAATGAGGCTGTCTGTTTATCTGTGTATCCGTCTGTGTATCCCCTTAATTTTCTTTGTATATTATGAGACTACTTGCTATCATTCTGTGTGTGTGTGTCCCACCCCATAATTTTCGAGGTTTATGAGATCACCTTGTGGTCTCTGTGTCTGTCGGTTCCCTTCTCATTGCTAGGAAACATGTCATGTTTCTATGTGTCTGCCCCTCCTAATTTTCCATTTTCTATGCTGTAAGTGTCGCATC